AAAGGCTGTGTAGTTAGCAGCTTTGGAAAAGGCTGTGTAGTTTTGCAGCTTTGGGAAAGGCTGTGTAGCAGTCTGTCTAGCAAGCTGAAAATAGAGTGTTGCATTGATCTATTGATTGATTTTTGGATTGAGCTTTGTAATTGATTTCAAGGCTTGAAAATAGCTACCCTTTCAATTGACTTTTATTCTTAAAAAATCAATCTGATCCAATTGATTTGCCAACCCCTAAAATCAATCAGATTGATTCAAATCAGACAGCGATGCTCAGGGTGCACATGATGCGCGGCATGCTTGTGGCACTGCTGTGTGGATGGGCGCTGGCAGATGTTCTTGAAAGAGATGAGTCGTGCGAGCCGCTGGAGGTGCGGTTGCATCGGTTTGCATCGTGTGGAGATCAGTTCATGCTTTTGAAACACAACCGCATAGAGAGATTCATGCGAATCCTCGCCCATGTCGGCACGCCGTCGGGGTTTTCATGTCGGGCCCGTGTATGCCGTTTCTGTTTGTTTTTGATGTTGCCAGGGTTTCAGCTGCTTCGAAGACTTGATATATGACATGCTGGTTCCATGAAAGCTTGGTTTTCTATCGCAGGACCCGTCAGTCTTGATGCAGTTGGGTGTGAAAAATGGCTTTGCCGGGGCCCAAGGTTGATTGTTTGTCACCGGCTGCTGCTTTCCTTGAGTTGGCGTGCTACAAGCCCCAGCCGCAGATTTCGAGAAAACAGAAACACCACGAACACACTCGAGGTCGCGTGGATGAAGAGCATCAGTGGAGACGTCACCGACACGTGCGATTTCGATGGGGTCAACCCCTTCGGAATCCAAGAGCGCGGTATACCTGGAGCTATTGAATACGTTTGCCAAGGCTACCAGGGTTGCCCTTGTGCCTTGGTGGCAATATTAGTGGCGTTCACATTGCAGATTGATTCAAATTTCCAACATGCGTTTTCGAGGTTTTTCGCCCTCTCAAAAGGATGATGCAGACTGCTTCTTGGACGCCTCCACCTCAAACCCAAAAGCATGCGATTTCGACAGCAGCAAGACCTCGTGCAGATTTATCCCGACTGCAAGTATGCTTGAGCTTTGCTTCACGCCGCCACCCAACACACGGATCCTTGGAGCCTGTGCGCGAGGCGCCCCTGCCCTCGACACACAATGTTGGTTCCAGAGTTGCACGCCTTCAGGGGATCCATTGGCGCCAACCTGCGAAGATGTCGACACATGCTACCAAGATGGCAACCCTGCAACAGAGTGGTGCATCGTGCCACCGGTGGAACCGGGCGGCGGGCAATTTATAAATGGCTACAACGTGTTGCTTGAGTGCTGTGGCACAGCCACCACGTCACCCACGACCTCACCGACCACGTCCCCCACGACCTCACCGTCCACGTCGCCCACGACCTCACCGTCCACGTCGCCCACGACCTCACCAACCACGTCACCAACGACCTCACCAACCACGTCTCCAACAACCTCACCGACCACGTCACCAACGACCTCACCGACCACGTCACCAACGACCTCACCGACCACGTCACCGACCACGTCACCGACCACGTCACCAACGACCTCGCCGACCACGTCACCCACGACCTCACCGACCACGTCACCCACGACCTCGCCAACCACTTCACCAACGACCTCGCCGACTACGTTACCCACAACTACGTCGCCCACTACTTCGACAGAGCCAGACATCACGACGACAACGGCGCCGGGCACAACTACGAAGAAGCTATACAACTACAGGCGGGGAATGGGTTTTCAAGACATGCAGGTCTTGATTTTTCAGCATTTTGAGGCACCATACAAGGCAACAGGTTTTGTCATGTTGTAGCTTCACCTCGATTGGGGAAGCAAGCTGATAACTGACAAGGTAAACCTGTCACAAGCGAGCCTGCGAAGTCTGCGCGTCAAGGACGTGGGTCCCCCAAGCTAAGCATGGACAAAGGAGAGATTCGGCACAGTTGTCTCTCAACCTGATCCTTGGACTCGGTGAAACTGACGCAAGGGAAAGGTCGCCTTTGTGGCATGGCGCAGTCTTTGCAACCACCCCCCATGTGGTGGTGCCAGCGCCACATATTTTGTCACCGTGTGCCCCATCAGGTGTCGGTGCCATCTTGCCACAGTTGGAGCTGGTACCATGCTCGGCCATTTCGGGCCACGTAGACAAGTGGGCGACCATCTTGAATGAGGCGGGGGGTGCGGCAGCCATGTCACCAGAAGTGGTTGGATGCCATTCCATGTTGCCAGGCCAGCCCCGCGCCAGGCAGTCAGTCACCACATGGACCTGCGTTGGGGAGATCGCAGCGGGTGAGGAGCCTGCAAGGATTCCACCAGCGCGCTGTTGTGAATGTGGCGGTGTGAGTGGTGAAGTGTGATGAAGTGGATCGTTGGCTTTGTTTGCTTCATCTTGGGCTCAGCAGTTCTTCTTGTTGGCGCTCATGTAGTAGCACAAACTGCCTTGTAGCAGCTTTGATGAGTCAGCCGTTCAGGCTCCTTGCAACTGGCCCCTTGCCTTGGCAGATTACTGAAGTCATTCATTGAGCTATATTGAGCTCTCTTGATCAAAGGGTTGGCTCGTGTGATGTGCCTCGGTAAGATGCCTACCTGGGTTGACGCTGAGTTGCAACATGAGTGCGCAGCTTGCGCAAGAAGCACCAGCGCGCAACCAACCCTCAACACCACAAGTTCCTTGTTCTGGCACTGCTTGCTTCACCCATCCCGAACACTTCAAAGGCGTAGGTCTTCCACCTTGCCTCAGCTGCACCTGGCTTGCCAGGTGTAAGTGAATTTCTCTTGCGTCGTCCGTGATGCAGCCTCAGCGTAGACGGGAGAACCTTAGCCGGGAGGGCCGGGGCACTTGCTCTGACGAAGCTGCTTTGCGCGCGTGTCCCGCAAAGCTTGTTAGTCTCCAATTGTCCAGTCTGCCCGCGATCAGCCAGTCAGTTTTCAGGCTGTCGTCATCAACAGCCGCCCATCATATATGCACATAACCTGCCACCAAAGTCACGACAAAAACTGCGTGTTGAACCTGACCCCCGGACGACTTGCACGTGTGCAAGCTTAAGGCGGCGCCCCTCCGCCCCTCACAGTTTTAAGTTTCTGAATTGCGGGCCTCCCCGGGCTGTTGCATAGAGAGGGCGGCCGTAGTCTCACTGAGCAGGTTGTTGTCTTCAGAGCTCATCTTCACGCACGCATTGTTGGTGAACCGGGGCTGTACTCAAGCATGCTTTGAAGTCGGGTCGAAGTAGCGGTTGTTGGATGATGCTTGTGAGTTGATGGTTGCATAGTGGCAGAAACCATTGTTTTCGATGACATCTCCAGAAGCCAAAGCTGAATCAAGAGCTGCTTGGTTCCCATGAAAGGTTTGCCACAACATAGTGGACTTTGGAAGTCGCTGGGTGGTCGCCTTAGCAAACTTCTTTTCCTGTGTCTTGTACCAGTTCTGCCATATAGGTGAACTTGTTGCCATGACCAACTTTCCTGCTGGAGTCTTGGTGAACAGTTTGTTGATGAGATCAGTCTTCCACTGTCGACCACCTTCTCCCTTAGGTGCCTTGTCCAAAAGGTCTTTGATCTCCTCTGGCAAATTGCAACTTTTTGACAGCCTGCAACATTTGTGAGAGATGAGATGCCATAAACAACCCAAATACCTGCACAATCCTAGTCAGAAACAACCCCTATGACCAGAACAACCACAGTGAGAATCAATCCTACTACCTGCACAATCCTAGTCAGAAACAACCCTATGACCAGAACAACCCCAGGGAGAAACTATCCTCATACCACCACAATCCTAGTCAGAAACAGAGATGGCCAGAACAATCCTAGTGAGAAACCATCCTATGACTAGCGCAATCCTAGTCAGAAACAATCCTATGACCAGAGCAACCCTTTTTGAGAAACAATCCTATGACCAGAGCAATCCTAAGTCATGCTATGTGGCAACTGCCTTGCAAATTTGCGAGCTTTTGCATAGTCCCTCTTGTCCCCTGCAGTGGAGTCTTCATCTGCATCTTTCTCACTTGCTTCTTCTTCTTCTTCTGGCTCCTCATGGTCAGATGCAGAGCCACCATCCTCCTTGTCGGCCTGAATGTTTCTCCAGGCAGCAGCTTTCTCCCTCAAAGGTGCTGGCTTGGGCTTTGCTTTGGGAGCAACATTTGCATCTTCACCTGTCTTGCCCTTACCTTCACCTTTCTTGTCATCCTTTTTCTTCTTGCCCTTCTCATCTTTTTCTTTGGTGGCTTCAGGCTCTTTTTGACAACTGCCTTGGGCTTTGCTTTTGCTGTTCCTTTTGCCTTGCCCTTGGGTTGAGCCTTGGCTTTTGCTTTCATGGGGCTCTTTGGTGCATCACGTTTTCCTTTTTGCTTTGGCCTCAGTTGGTGCCTCTTCTGCAGCATCCTTTGTTTCTTCTGGAATGTCTGTGACTTTTGTGTCCTTTCTTACCATTGCTAACAATCCTAACTGTTGAGCTGGCAAGCTGTGCTTGAACAAAACCGACCTGGTAAGAATGCAACCAATGTTTCTCCACACAACACTACCCAAAAGATACAAACAGCAAAAGACCATAGAAGAACCACAACAATCCTAGAAGAACCACAACAATCCTAGAACAATCGCAACAATCCTAGAAGAGCAAGGTACTGTAAGCCAACCAAAAGGCACAGTATGATAAACAATCCTACACCGCAACCTTTAATAGCATCATAGCAAAAATGGTTGAGGGCTTATATATTTTCATCAAAAGTTAAATAGTATGAGATTGAAAAACGATTATCATAATAATTTTACTTAAAATATGATCAAAATTTTGCAGATGATGTGCAAATTTAGTGAAAGTTGCATTCAAATTTTCACTTCCCAAGTGAAAGTTTATTGAAAGTTGCACTGAAACTTTCACTTCCCAAGTGAAAGTTTATTGAAAGTTTCAATGAAACTTTCACTTCTCAATTGAAAGTTTGTTGAAAGTTTCATTGAAACTTTCACAAAACTTTAAATTCATTATATTTTTAAAGTAAACTTTCAATTTGATAGTGAAAGTTTCATTGAAACTTTCAACGAACTTGCAATTTGAGAGTGAAAGTTTCATTGCAACTTTCAACAAAGTTGTACCATCAATCAAGGACAAAACCTATTCAGAACAAATTTTTAGACACAATAGAACAAGTTTTGATCACACATCTACAAGATTGATGTTATGATTCTCAATTTTCCAAAAGCCTCGTGGAAAGAACAGCAAAAAGAGGGATTGAAGGCAGAGCTGATATCTTTTCTTAGCAGTGACAACTGACATCATTTGACTACACATTATTTTGGTTGAAGTTGCAAAGGCCATTGTTTCTGTTTGACTTCTGGCAGGCACAGGCACCGCAGCTGCAAAGACCCAGCTGAGAAGACTATGATGGCAACTGAAGAGAAAATATGGTGAAGTGAGAAAGGACAATATATAAATATATACAAGATAGTTCAAGGCTTGTAGGATTGTTTTTGACTCAATCCAAGCCCTGGAAAAGTAGGACACTGGATAGTAAACATGTGTTGAGGAATGCTTTTGACTGATTCCAAGGACTGGATGTCGCCTCAATCAAAGGTGAGGAGCTACCATATACTTGTGCAGCAATAATCCTAACCATTGAAATGATGCAGCTGTGTAACCCAATTCAATTTGGGATGGCAATGAACAATCCTAAAACAAACATTGCTACCAAGATTCTCCTCAATATCAATGTCCAAAATTAATCCCAACAACTCAAAAAGAAGAAGAGGCAGCATCCATAGTGAGATCAAAAAGTTCCACCCTACCTGATGAATCAAGTATACAGCTATATCTTTGCGAAAGCATGGCAATCCTAGAGATCTTATTGAAAGCACAGTAATCCTAGAGCCAAGGTACCTTTGCGGCAGTACTGGAGGAGCCTTGCCCAGCCAGCTCAAAAGCTCCCTTCCCCTTGCCCTTCACCTCCAGCAAGTGGCCCATTGCCTGCTGCTGCCTGTACTCCACATTCATGCCCTCTGGCAACTCCAAGTCCTGCGCTGCCACTGCTGCTCCAGGCCTTGCTTGGTGCCTTCCCCAACCAACTCAGCAAAGACCTGTCAGGCTCCAAGTTTGCGCGCGCCACATACTGCAGGTGGATGTAGGCCTGCTGCTGCTGGAACAGGCAGTCATCCTCAGACCACCTAAGTGCTTCCATGTTAATCATCGAACAATGTGGTTTGATAGCCAAAACAATCCTAAGTGCTTCCAAATGAATCATTGAACAATGTGGCTTGATAACAATCCTAGACCAAAGCGCAATCAGAACAGTCATCGAACCATGTGGGCTAAACAATCCTATGTACTGTATACAATCTTACCAGCATACAGTTCACCACTGATTCAAGAATAATCCTAATTCAATATTAGACATAAACTACACACCCACACAATAATCCTACTCCTGCACAAACATCCTTCATCAAAATTAGATGTTCAGCCAGGGGGCTCCTGGCTGCCTGTGGAGCTGCAGGGCCTTAGAAAAACACACGTGTTGTTTGCAAACCACCCTCCATAACACTTCTACATTCCAGCAGTATGACCTCTTCCCACAAGAATGTCTGAGGCTCAGGCATAGGAGGTGCCTTCTTAATCGCCTCCTTCACCATTGGCTGGTGGGTTGGGGGGGGAGGTGCTGCCTTCACTGGCACCAACCTCAAGCATCCAAGTCAAAACAATCCTAATGCAGTACAAACAAAATTTCACAACAACT